CTGGAAAACTGGGGTACCCAGCACAGCTCCCCCAACCCTAGCTACAGCCACAGGCATCAACAATCATGTCAGGGATGTCAGTCTTGACAATGTTGCTGTTGCGATCAAAGTAGAGGACTGAGAGTGGCCGGCGTCGTGTGGGCACACAGCAAGAGTGCCCTGATGCCTGGATGTTGTTAGCTTTGATGAGGTTGAAGACAGCTGTGTGGAAAGAAGAGGCCATACCAGGGCTGCCCGCCACGTGTAGAGGGCACTGGCCCACACAGTAGTTTATCTGGTAGCCCTCAGGCTTAATGATCCAGTCATTCCAACCGATGTCACGGAAATCCACGTAGTAGTCCTTGCGGCAGCAGAGGTTGGAGTTCTGGCTGCAGCGGAGGCTGCGCTTGGCCACGTGGTGTCCTGGCTCCCGCACCTTTGCCTCAGCCACCAAGAAAGGCTGGTGGGACCGGCTGGCATTGACTATTGCCATGCCCTCCCCCTCATCCCCACGGCTCTCCAGTTCCAGCCGCAGGGTCCTGCGCTCTCCCCCAAAGAAGCTCTGCAGGGCAGGCATAAGCGTGAAGGCACGCCAGCCGCTGCCCTTAGCACTCAGTCGCCTCTCACTCAGCAGCGTGCGATTGCCCCCCACCAAATCACCTTCCCCAGCAGCAAGGAAGATTTTCAGGGTGAGGCCGGCTGCCAGGTCTCGGGGAACTCGAAGATAGAGCCAAAGCTGAGCCTGCAGGATGTGAACGTCCCGGTCTTGTGTACGGCTGAACTGGAACTGCAGCCCCAAGCCAGAGGGAGACATGGGCTCTGAGAAGAGAAAGGGATGAGAACATGAATGCTGCAGGATGCCAGGGAAGGTCCGGCTTGCACCACCTTCCTGCACATCAAGGCCAGCCTCTTTCACCTTCTTTTTAGGGAAGACCTACAAACTTCCCTCCCCCCCCCAGGGCCTCCAGTCTGCCCCCCTCCCTTCCTTGGGAACGCTACCCAGAAGGGGGCGGTGTTGGAATGGGGGACTGTCCCACCCTGCCTGGCAGAATGGGCACAGAACGGGGCAGGGGACACCTGCTTTCACCTGGCCCTACAGGTCCTTGCCCTTTGCTGTGTAGCCCAGCCCCAGCCAGTCCTTGCAGCTCCCAAGTCCGACTACCGGGAGTCCCGGGCACGCCGGGTTGCCCCCATCCTTCAGGAAGCAGACGGGCAGGGCAGCACTTCAGGCGTAGGGTCCCAACTGGCCAACGCAGGAGCGACAGAGGGACCACCCCTCCTCCTCCCAGGCTGAGCCTTCCCGCACCAGCAGTGCTGGGAGGTCACCGGTGTACGGCAGGTGCATGCGCTAATGACTTAATCACAGCCCGCACGGCTCCAGGCACCCTCACCGCGCT